ATCTATAACTTTATTGTTACAATTTGCTGTTGTTGGTCCCACAAATATATCAATGTATTCAACCATCAAATGACTTAGTTTCACTGCATTGAATCTGGATTGTTTGCACACTTTTCAGCCTTGGATCTCTCATGTGTTGACAGTTGTGTATTATTTTTGGAAGTGGTGTAATGGACAAAACGTAATTGATGGCTGAAAGGTCTGGGAGCAAAGTTTTTTGTTTTTTTTCAATATCCATACCCAGAAATTGTGGTTCATTCTTAGTTATGGGAAGGGACAGTTAAGTCTTATCCGATACGTTGTCGGAACTTCGTGATTTCACCTACCACCACCAGATGGAGGCATTTTTCCGACTCTCAAATAATATCTGCTCGCTGAATTAAAGGGTTCTAAAGCAGAGTTTGTAGTTCACCTATAATAGGTATACGTCCCCTGATGGGACAGAGTAAGTCTACTGACTTACAATTCAACTTCAACATTTTGTTTACTTTCAGGATCACTAGTTTCATTGAGAGCAAGCTGGATCCATTGTTAGCATGAACATTGGTTCAATTTTTGGCTTCTGTATTCCTCCAGTTTGTTTTTGGAGTCTCGAATTTCATGAGCTCTTACTGGGGGATCATAGTTCTGCTTCTATTCGTGAGTACCAATCCCTGACATCAGGTTTCCATTGCTTACTCGGATCGTCAGCAATGTTGGTGATTATTATATATCTTCAGAAGCTGTTAGGGTTCGGTTCCAAAAATTTTCTGGATGTGTGGTAATCTTAACCATTAGTCTTGAACCTCTGTAGGTCCTTGGGTCACAGTTGGTCATTGAGTTCACATCATCCCCATTATTATCCACCCAACCTGTAGGGTTTCCATCTCACGCGTTTCATGTGGATTTGAACCTTAGTTATAAGGTTATTTGAGTCTACTTGGTCTAAAGATAGAGAGATAGTCGGGCTAGTTCTTTAGAGTTTCTATTCATGTTAGTTGTTGTACCTATGAAGACAGGAGATTGGTGTCTAGTCATCAATCTTCCTTGTCTATATCAATGTCTAGATTCTCCAAGGTTCACAAGATAATCATTCCTCAATGTGTTAATTTTTTTACTGGGATTGTAGATTCCCAACTTGGTTGTAGTCGGCTCCTATATGCACTTTGCTTTGGCGGTTGAGTCTCACCACTATCGTCATTTGTGGTGCACAAGGGTCAGGTACTGCAGTTCTGGATTTTTTTCATTTGGTATCGCATAGGCTTAACATGGGTTCTGCTGTAAAGTGTGAGTTTTCTCTTCCCCTTCATTCCATTGTACTGTGCATACACCATTCCATGGATGACTGGTTACTGCTCCAACATCTCATCAATTGTTAGACCATCATATCCTGCTTTTACTTTCAGATACAACCTAGGCAGGCTTCTCTTTCAGGACTGTGATATCTATTCTTGCTCCAGTTCAATATATCATCAGTCTGGGTATTTTTTATTTTTCATCTCATCTTTCAGTTGGGCTCACCTGTCTCCCATCCTGCAGAATGCTATAGATTAGGATGCCACACTCTTACTTCTCATTCTCCCACTGCATGGATGGTTCTTTCTCTTCTGGGAATGTGGGCATCACTTGAATCTTTCATGTCTCTTTGTTTGTTAACCTTCAGCATAGCTGAAACTCAATATGGTGGAGGTGTCTGATTTGGATTGTACATCTGAAATATAGCCACAGCAGATTTCACTGTGGGCTTCTTCCTCTCTAACAACTGCCCCAAATTTACCACTTTATACCAAGTGATGTCCCAAGGTCTCACTGAGAAGTCCCTCAGTGAATTTACTCTCAAGTATATCTATTATCTTCTGCTGCCATTGCATGCTAAGCCTTACAGTGCATATTGTACATATAAGCACCCAGACTCTTTAATCGGCTGATGAATCACTCAATTATCCACTGTATTGAAGTTGTGTGGAAACTGAGCCATGACTGTGTTCTAATATTCTTGTTTCACTTCATTTAAATTCTCAGTGGAATACAGGGCTGGACTCTAAGCATTGGACTGAATGTTTCTGAATCCAACCATTTCAAGCAGTTATCTGCCTTAAATACTTAAGCAAATGGTCCACATTTTCTTACAATAAACCATAGAACTTTGAGGGATGAAATATGCTTGGCTTCATAAACAGGGACCTGTGGTTTTGGCTAAAGCCTTTCTTTTGCAGGCTATGTGGCTGAGGTGCTACTGATATCGTGGGTATGGAGAGGAAGAAATACTAAAAAAGTAGCTGGTCCCTGGTATAGGGAAACAAAATATAATAATTAATGTTGAATATTTTATATGAAAAATTTTTAATCAAAAAGTAAATGTAGGACTTGAAACTTGGACCTTGGATAGCAGTGCCAGTGTGCTCTACCTCTGAGCTACCCAAGAATACAAGTTGTCCCTGTCAATTTTCACTTTTAAAGCCTTTTGCTGTAAGTGTGATCACCATACTACATTATGATAGGGACAAGACCAAATCATAGAAGTCCATAAACGACTTGCATATATTTATTTAAATCCATTAGCAATTGGTAAATTATTATTATTGTATTGTAATAATAAATATTAAATATTTTACATGAAAAGTTACTCTGGGAGTGGAATTTGAATCCTGGCCAGTGCTCTACCATATTTCAAGTCCCAGATTCTCTTTCAGTTTATCAATTTTTTTCACATAAAATATTTAATATTTATATAATAAGGTAGAAAGCATGTGATATCTTTACATGTCATATGGTTACTGAATTCTCTTTAAATAATGAGTAGAAGAATCCAAGATATATTTGCTTTGTTAGTAAACTCCAGGAAACTTACAAAGTTTTACTTCAAAAACATCTTTAATGTGATTCAGAATAAAGGGTGTTCAGTTTTAACTTGTTTCACATTGTTAAAATCTGCTATATCTGTGTGCTAGCTTTTCCAACATTTATCACAAACATTGTATTACCAAAAATTCAATTCAGTTACCTAAGGACACCTAGATCCCAGCTAAATCACATTAAAATTTAGTTCTGACTTATCAATTTTTAAAAGCTCTAAATCCACATTAGTTGTTAAAATTTTTATGAAACTTTATGTGTAGTGATGAGTTACCTGAACATACCTAATATTGTTTGTTTGTTTTTTTTGAGAATTTATTGTCTTGCAGTGTGTTTTACTGATACAAACTGGCTTTATATAGAAGGTATGTTGATGATACGCTTTTACTCTTTCGGAGCTCTACTCGCATCAAGCAGTTATTAGATTATTTAAATTTGAGACACCCAAACATTAATTTCACTTGTGAAACTGAAAAAAATGGTAAATTGTCTTTTATTGATATAAAAATTAGCTGATTAGATAACCATTTCACAACATGTGTTTATTGTAAAAAAAACATATACAGGCCTACGTACTTGATTTGACAGTTTTATTCCAAATTCCTTTAAAAGTAACCTTATACTCGGTCTTCTCAATAGAACATATAACATTTGTTCTAACTACCTCTTTTTTCATACTGAAATTACCACATCACAAAACATTTTAATAAACAACGACTATCTCTTACATTTTATTCAAGCCTTAACACACAAGTTTCTTTCTCACAAATTTGAGCCCCCAAAGAAACCATACACTGTTGATAGATACCATTAAGATTGATCGTTCTTTTTTTTAAGTAAGCAAAGTTTCATACTGAAGTCACAAATTTTAAGAATAATTAAAACATTTTATCTACAAGTTCAACTACAAAAGATATTTAAATCACCCTTCCAAATACAAAATTTATTCCGATCTAAAGACCTACTACTTACCCCCTATAGGTTCCAGTATCGTATATAAATACATGTGGCTGTAATGCCACTTACACTGTCAAAACTATATGCCAATTACACCTGCGAGCATGCAAACATATGGGAGTATCAAGCAGAACTGGTAAAAAACTATCAAGTCCACCAGACTACACAATCTGCACACATAGTGAAAGCACTAACCATCCCATCTGGATCATCCAATATTGAATTTTTAATTAAAGAAAGTTTATCTATTATAAATGAACTCCTAACTTTAAATGATAACACAACTTCACTACAATTAAGCCTGTTCTGAATACTTGTATAATATTGTTTCATTATCATATTTTTTGTTTATTTGTTTGGCTTTCAAATTAATTCATCCTTTTTTTCTGTATTTTAATTACTTTTTATAAAATGTTTCAATTTATAAATTGTTGTACCTAATAATTTACTCTGTTCAGTATAGCTTGCTGAAGATGGAATATGTATATA